TAGCCCCGCCCCCTAGCCACTCCCTCCCAATTCCCGCCCCCCTGACTGCCCCCCACAGAACCCCCAACCCATCCAACCCTCCCTGCTCCTTGTTTCCTGATCGCCCCTTCCGGGGACCCCTGCCCCTAATCACCCCCCGGGACCCCACCCCTTATCTAAGCCTCCCTTATCTTTGTCCCCAACTGCCCCCTCCTGAGACCCCCCCACCCTACCTGTCCCCTGACTGTTCTGACTCCTATCCACACCCCTGCCCCCGCCAGATCCCCGGGACTCCCACGCCTATCCAACCGCTGCCTGTTCTGTAGCGGCACAAACAGCTCCTGCTCCCGTTTTGCTACCGGCGTGCTGAAGCTGCAGGGGAGGGAGGGGGAAGCGGGGGAGGGGCTTTTGCTGCCGGAGCAGCCCCAAGTGAGCGGCTCAATCCGGCGCGGCTGCCCTGTCAGCCGCTTTTGGGTCTTTAGATAGCCGTCCGGGGGAAATCCCGGACATTTTTAGCTTTTTACAAATTCCCCCCGGACGGCTATTTAAAGACCCAAAAGCCGGACATGTCCGGGGAAACCCGGACGGATGGTAACCCTACCATAGGTGCTGGAACTAGGGGGGCTGCCGCACCCCCTGGCTCAAAGTGGTTTCCATTATATACAGGGTTTACAATTTGGTTTAATGGCCTCCCCACTATAAAAATTGTTCCAGCAGCCTTGCTCCACCCCAGTTTCTAGGACACCCAAGCCATATCTCCACACACCTCACACACCCTAAATTGTGTACACTGAGCTGCTCGTGCAAAACAGTTACAAAACATTGTAACGTGCAAAACAGTCACGAACCAAAGAGCATTTGGGTCTTTTGTGTTGTTTGTTTAAAATTCTTTTATGCCCTCTGCTCTGCATAATCTTTAAAGCATACAAATAAATGTTATTTCTGAATGATCATGAAATCTGAGATTAAACTGAAAACCTTGAAAGCTATGAGAATTTATAGAAAGTTTAAAATATTTATCACAAAATCCTGGATATTATTGTCTATGCACAAAAAAGTGTTTGTAGATTTGAAAAATACCACATAAGGAAGAATTGCCTAACATTAAGTACAAACAATGTATCTTAACGTTTAACAGTTTGGTTAAAATAGATCTGATAAGGTGAACATAGAAATGGTTTTGTAGGTTTTGTTAAATAGTATCTCTTCACTTGTGTAGCCTATAGGACTAACCTGCTTGCTTGTGTGAGTGTATGTGTATATATAAACTATAAGAAAAGATATATATATAGATATAGATAGATAGATATACACACACAAACTTATAGTTTAAGTATTTGGTTTATCGTAATAGGTTTATAGATTTATATTAAAGTAAGTTTGGCTGTAATGCAAGAGACCTACAGGCCATATCCTGCATGTTAAGCTAAAGCAACGTTAGCATATCTATCTCCTGCGCCCTTTTACCCAGAAAAGCAAAGTTCACCTTTTATCTTGTTTTTCCGATACCCAAATAAAGTGCCTATGCCTAGGTCTAAGCCCTTTACCTAGACCGATAGAAGAATGGCATAGGGGGGTTTTCAATGTTGTACCCACAGACTTAACAAGTACGCCACAAGAGACTGATGTGCGTACATACCTGTCATCAATACAAACATACATATTCGCCTATGGGGTAAGTGACCCTAACATTTCTGTAGGTGAGGAATGAAATTTGGGCATAAGAGGAAGGATTTCTGGCATTTGCCCTATAAAAGAGGTGACCCACCTCAATAGAGCTCTCTCCATTCTTACTGACTTCAGTTCTATTCTTACTTATTCTATTTCTACTCTATTTCTCTCTATCTATTCTATCTATCTACGATGGCTACTACTATTAGTAGGCTGTACTTGTTCTTCTTAAACTTTAAGTTTCAAGGGAACTAGGTTTCCCTAAGTTTTATTCTTAGCCCTAAATCAGGCTACACTTTTTTGCGTAAAATAATAAAATTTTCTGTTAAGCAGGTAACATCTCCTTTAACACTAATTTCCTTCTCATAAAACTGCATATGTATTGCTTTTAATCTAGAAATCTCATATTACAAATGCATGTATGTGTAATATAACAGCATATCATTTATATTTTGTTGTATCTCACCATGTTTATGCATAGCAGTTTGCTGTGCAATACATAATTATATTTAAATTCCTACATATCAAAATTCTCTTTATGAAACTTATTGTTAACAATTTAATTCTTCAGCAGCACAAGTTGCCAGTAAATTACAGTGGCCTTCTCACACCTGTATTTAGTCCAACTTTGCCTCCTCAGTTCTGGTTTATATAAGGGCCTGATTCAAAGCCCTTTGAGATCAATAAAAAGCCCTTAAGGCCCCATCTACCACTTTTGGGATAAGGCAGCTATTTCTGAACCACTCCAAACTTTATGGACGTTCACATCCAGATCTGAGTTTTGCAACTAGTCCCTCTTTGTATAATACACTGAACCAAAACCCATCTCCAAACCAGACATTTTAATCGGGATTTGGAGACATGCAGATAGAGTTATCAATCTGAACTTGGTGACGCAAGCCAATCTCTACTCTCAGGAATTCTGAGACCATACACTGTTTATCAGGGTAAACAGAACCCAAAATCATCTTCAGGGCTTGTGGAATAGCATCCTGTGGTGATTACTTTTTGACATAATGTGATGATGTTGTTATGCACTATCATGTTGTGCGGTGACATGCTAACATATCACAACATTGTGGTCTGTTAGATGATACAGACAGGGCAGGTCTCCTTTCTAAGGGTCAGAAGAACCACACAGCCTGGTTGCCATACATGTTCTCATAGCCATAATGCAATATTTTCACTCCATGCATCTGATGAAGGGTTTTTTAGCTTATGCCCAAATAAATCTGTTAGTCTTTAAGGTGCCACCGGACTCCTCATTGTTTTTATAAAGCAATAGGTACACTGTATTTATGGAACATTTAGTATTATGGAGAATATTTTTCCAGCATGAAAAAATTCACGTACATAATTTCTTGCATCTAGATTGTGCATGTACCACATCCTGATGGTAACCTGGATAGGCCTAACTTCTTTAGGCACCCCCACTGGGATCTTAATCTGGTTCCCCCGAATGACTAGCACCTCTCATTTGAGAGAAGGTTCCTTTCATACCCTGCTATACTCCTTTCGTTCTTCTGTGTTCTGGGGCTTTGGCCCTTCCATGCAAAAATCAGCCCTGTAGGATCAGCAGGAAATCAAGCCAGAGTCCTCAGAGCCAATGGTCAGGCATTGTCCCTTAACAACTCTTGTGTTTGCTGAGGGGTGGCTTTATCTTTTCATTCCTGGTTGTTTTTCCAGACAGCCTTATATTGAGGTAACCTAATGTATTCATATAGTAAACATCCCAATAACCAGGCCAACATACCACATTGATAAATGATCACAGGGCAGCTCCAAATCCATCACGGTTATAACCTGCCTTTTCAAGAGAACCTGGTGGTTTTGATTTTAAAAAGGTATCTCCTTTAAAGGGGCCTGATTGTCAAAAAAAGGCTAAGAACCCACCCTCTGGAAATCTGAACTCTTTAGGTGTCTCGAGCTGAGCACCCAAAACCACTACTTTTGAAACTGTAGCTCTATACTTGCATTAATATCTTATAATTCATCCACATCATGTGCATTGTTTTGTTGCATTCAAGCAGATTTACAGCTGTTTAAAACAGTAAAAAATTCCATTTAAAAAGATTTCTTTTGGCCTGAGTATGTATAGCTTTAAAATGCCACTAATCAATCAAAGAAAGCTTTTATTTTCTTTTAGTTACATTAGTCAAGTTATGGGGAGGAATGCTGTCCATGCATTTCACAGGAAGCATGGTCATTAGAGTCCAAAGGGAAAACCCAACCACACAAGAGTACAAGAACTAATGTGAATCAATAGAGTCAATGTTTCCTTAGACCAGTATTTAAGCCAGAGCTTTCATGTGCCACTGAATTCTCAGGAGGGTTGAAGGTTATCTGACAATTAGAAAATTACCATAGATAAACCTTAAATCCCTGAACCAGTCCAAGTTCTTTACCCACCGATCTCCATAGAAACCATTTATTATCCTTACATAACAAACCAGGGTTTTTTTATTGGTTTTACTATATAGAGCCAATATGCAAGATGGCAAGATAGATTACACTATGCTGAGTAATCACTTACATCTAAGATCTCAACTTCAGTTCAAGGCAAATGCTTGGTAATTCAACCTGGCCAATAGTGTGAAATTCCCCATAAACTAACATCAGTGGAATCCATATCCTGTTTCGCATACAACAATGCCATTAATGTCCTCAGTGTGACCTCATTTTGGGAAAGAGATTACCTGGTATATTTGAAAATGGTCATGTGTGTTTAGAGTTCTTACAATATTCTTAATTTCGCTCAAGGGATCAGTACGTATTACTGTGGATTATTGTTCAACAGCGGTTTTTAATTCCATAAAGTCCTATGCACTAGATCTAAAACAGATGCAATCATTACATTCAAGCTTGAAGATGTATCAATAGTTTCTCTCAATAGCCATAGCAGAACTCATGGCAGTATTAGTATTATCCTCTTTTGACC